ACACTACACAAGGCTATTTGAATAGCCCGAGTGGCAAGCAGTGTTCGTCTCTAGGCAATGGTTCCTGAGAGATATTGATATGTCATCATATAATAACATCCTTCAAATGTATAATAGATGTCGTTTTCAATTGATTCCGCGTTTGTGTGCGCAAACGACGAGAAGCAATGAAACAGGTCGTTAACTTAATCCCTAACATGACCAAAGGTAATGTGCGATGATACTGAATTAATTATTCACTTGGATAAATAACTCCTGAATCGCGAGAGTTGTCGTAGCTGAAATGAAACCAACATTGTAAGAAATGAAATTGTAATTACTTTTTGCTTTGTAGCGGTACGACGATTCATTCATTCAAATAATTTGTCGGAATGATACTAAGCAAATGATGTATTGATTATGGCTGAATGGGTCATCAAGCAATGAGCAGTTTTTGAGTGTAAAACTCGTCAATTATGTATTGTCCATTGCCTATTGTTTCGTAATTTCGTCGCCGTCATTATCGTTTCATGCTTTCTGTTGCAGAGTGGTGATTTTCGATGCCCAATTTGAGAGAAAATGCAATTTTGTGTGGAATTGATTACTATCGAGATAATGAGAGGGGAATTGGGCGGAAATTATGTGTTAACATCGACGTAATTGCCGGCGATGTTTGATTGCCAATAGCGAAGGAATGCATAAAATATGGAATACTTGAGTGATGTATTGGGGCAATTAGGAAAAATTGGTAGAAGTAGCTATCAGAAATGAAAATTTTTGCATGAAAATGGAATTTCTGATGAAAAAGAAACTAAACAAAAATATGCAAACGTCCGTCACGTGAACAATTCGATAGTTCTTAAAAGGTTTGAAATGGAGACCGAAAGCACTTCGAAGTAACTGCGTGAAGGCATTACTTCGTTGTCCGTGACTCGGGTAAATGTGAGTGTATTTTCAGACATTTCAGACTGTCTGAAAGGTGGTCCCTATAAACTCATTCAATATCTACGCGAATAAGAAGGCTTGTTGAAAGTCACTTTTACANAGCGGCAGTTCCACGAAGAATCCTTCCATTATCACAATTGAAAAATCGCAATTTTCACAAATAGCAAATTGTGTTGCGTGCGGATTTTAATCTCTTGAGGAAATGATCGGTGTGCAAGATCGACAATATAATTTGTATACTCGTAAAAGGTATTTTTGGGAAGGCGAAATTTAGATCGAATTTTCTTGAGGAAGATATGCTATCGCGTTCGATCATTTTGAGAAGAAATGAACATGGAAATATTCAGTAGCGAAAAGACGTCATATTGCATCAGTAATTTGAGAGGAGCATCCAACTCTGCATTTCTTCATGCATGCATGATAGGATTTTCCGTTAGACGAATTAATACTCAAGCAGTTGTATTAGCATTCAGCTTCGCACTTCCTCTAGCAGCTAACAATGAGCTCGTTCGTCATTCTACGTACTCGCCAGCAGATGTCACTGAATAACTAATTAGTTGATATGCGTCATTGCATTTGCAGGAAGAAGAAAACGATTCAGATTCGTGGCAAACATTAGAAGATACGGCCAGTTTCTCCGGTATACCGGTGGTCGTGTTCGCGATTATTGGTGCAATCGTACTGGTTGTAGCCATTCTGTGCATCCTGGGTGTTGTTCGACGACAACTATCATCAGCGCGTACCGTTACAAATCTTTGATTTGATTTTCAAACATCATCAGCGATCATGATTGCTCCAACTGAACTTCAGATGAATAATCATCACCCATAGAATATGTTCATGCGCTGAATTGGTTATTGATTCGTTTAAGTTTTTCCTCCTGTGCTATCTAAAGATCTCATTGTTACCATCAAATTCGATGAAACTGCGTTCGGTTTTGTTGAAGCATAATTTTCATAAATAAGTGGAAAGGATTCTGATCAGTGTGTTTATGATGAGCGATTAAGGAGTCTGCATGCATAGTTATTTGAGATTAAGATTTCATTGGAATACATAAAGTACATGTATGTATAATGTCTGTTACGTGTTTCTTCGATTGATTAGTATTACTGAAATTGATACTCACTCACGAGATAAGTAAATATTCATGTTTCCATAGTAACTCAATAGTAGTTTTATGCGAATGACTGTCCAAATCAATCACTATGATTGTAATATATAATACCTCCACTTCTTCGTAGAAGCTTCATGCTTTGAGGGTGTTACGCAAGTAATTCGAATAGTTACTGTGGTGATGGATTAGGATATTCCGACGATATCTTATAATTGCGTTCATGGAATTCATATTTTTGCTCGACGCAGCATCGTTGAGTGGAATTTTTTGACAAGGTAAATCATAGTCGCATAGTTGAGATAACCAGTATCGCATTTCGTTGTTTTGATCGAATCCATAATCAAGAAATCAGCGAATAACAGATCACCAGCTGAAAAACTTTGGGTAGATTTGTTAACGTGGCAATATGAAACATCGATGAGTCTGTGAGGAAAAAACGTTTTCTGAACTTAATTTTGTTCGGGTCGTTACATCAACGGCTCATTCTGTACTGTTTTTGTGTGTTTCTGTTTAAATGGATTGATGAATGAATAAAATCGTCTGTATTGCTTGAAAAATCAATGTGTAATTGACAGAACAACACTAAACACATGCATCATGTGATGTAAATTTAAATAAGGCATATTGCGATTAGTGGAGAAGAAAACAGTTTTGTAACTATGGTTTCGTTTCCGAGGATTTATTTAGGATAACGTCGTTAGCGCCAACTAACATGTCTCTCTACTTGGAGCCAAGGCTAACAGTTTATTAAATATATTGTCACCAACATTCATTTTTGCCCAGTTCAGTCACCGTTCTCTTTTTTTGCCATATCTGATCAAGACGTGATCGTTTTTCAAGAACACTTTTAGGAAGTTCATAATATGATAGAACTTGGAACAAAATTGAAATTGGCAAAAAGAGATAGATAGAAATCGTGTGGACTTCATGTACTCGTTGATGTTAGAGCTCGCGATGAATTGAGTGATATGAAAGGAGGATTGCAACAAGTTTATTCAATCGATATTCTTAGCCATTCTTTCCCGACTTTTCCTCAATACACTTCTTCGATGTCAACACTGGTAATGACGCTCAGGAGAAAAATTTCGTCAAACATATTGAAGATTGCATCTTTTCTATGCCAATTTGGAACTATGGAGAGAATTAACGAAATGAAAACTGATGATAATTTGAAGTGAAAATACCTCCCCATTCTCCCTGTTAGAGAAACAGGAATGAAATTGTTTGTTTATTCGAAAGTCCACGCACTTTTTGAGCGATTCGTTTATGAAAATTTCTAAACTAACCGAAAATTTGATGAGTTTGGGTGTGCGGCGAGAAATCATTGGAGAGGATTCAACGGAAANGCAGTTCTTGGAAGTTGGAGCAAAAATCGCTGCTGATTACGGTGCGAAGCCATCGAATCTAGAAAATGAAAGTTCCACTTATAGGTGAAGAAACATCATGTTTCGAATACATCATTTCATTTCCTACTTCAAAAACGAATTTCTCAGACGGATGTGAGCCAAATGGAAAATACTCCTTTCAAACAAATAATCATGAGGAAGCGAGCATTAACCTTTTAATGGTTATCGTTCAATGCGAATTTTGATCAAACGATTGAAATTTTGTTGTCTTTAAAAAATTTTCTTGAATGATCGGAAATTCGATGAGAGCATTAATTGGATAGAAATAAATTTGCCCTCGCTTCGAATCTGTTGAAATCATTCGTTGGAAAATGGCATTAAACCTCCCTTAGAAAGTATAAAACTGGAAAAAACTTCCAATTCATGAATCTATCTGGTATTTTATCCACCACGCATTTCATTTACTGACTTCTATAATGCCTTTCATGACAAATTCGATTATTATAAGTTATCATAAATTACATCATAAATTACAAGTGTTCTCTTAGTTTCTGCGAAGACATTTGTACATGATTGATGCTAGCGTTTGAATATCCTGGATAATGTGTTCATCCATTCCAGGAATCGAAAGAAATCCCGATCTCAATACTCGTTTACCAAGAAAAACTTTTCCCACTCACCAACCAGCAATTAACTTTTGTCGCAGCTGATTATAAGCCTAAGCCAATTCTTGCGGCTGATTAGAACAGGATTCGACGAATTGAACAAAATCGATTAAGTGCTTCAAAAGAATGATACCTCAATATCACGTCAACTTGTGCGATGCTCTAATTGAGCTATTTTTGATATTGTTTCGTGAATGGTGATCATATAAAGCTGACAGCATCCGTTGTGGTTCGTTATTGAGTTGTACAGGAAATGAACACGCATAAAACATGTTTTCTAAAGAAATGTAGAAATTTGAGGAAATGGATGAGTTTTGATGCAATCGAAGTCTTCCGGCGATAAGCAGTTTGCAGTTAACAGCTCATAATCAGTGGTTCACCAAACGAATGATCTTCGATGCACTACACTAGTAATTCTGAAACTGCTGAAAGAATTCACACTGATATTCTCTAATAGCACTATTAATGTGAAATAACTGCTGAGTATGACAGTAACATCANCAGTAGTATTGCTGAATGAAATGATCTTAGAAGTGAGTTAAGCCGTGACATTCAAACTGTGGCAGTGCGCCTATTCTGTTGCTTTAAAGCAGATTGTGCGATCCTAGATAAGGACTGCATACGGGAGGGTGTATGCAGGAAGGACTAATTTGAAATTCTGTTGTTCTTCATTCAAGAGTAAAGCGGTTAGCAAGATAATGCTTCGGAAATGCGAATGTTAATCAAACAAATCGAGATATCAAAGACAATATGTGTGACAATAAGATTTTACTATCAACTCGCAACTCCGTTGGTGTTTTCTGAGTTTCTTTTCTTTCAGAACACTTCTTGCGAACAAAATCCAATTCCTCCAGCAAAACTAATTTCATACTCACCTGGAGAGCTCCATACATCGTCATGAATACTCATGACAGCACATATTATGGGATTACGGGATTATCCCAAATAAATCTGACGGGATTATCCCAAAAATAGTAACTTCCAACTATGTGTAACGATTATTCGGGTTTCCAACAATTCTTTATTCGCTCAGTTACCTCAAAGTTGGGTAATTAAACCACGGATTAATACAAGCACGTCAAATATTTGAGAATATCAATCGCTCAAGATATTCCTAGCTTATGTGGTCATTTAAATAATAATGATATGACAATAATGTTATTAAAGAATAATCGTTTACGATATAATCATGTATA